CCCCATGCTCCGCCCTGCGACAGCTGACCCGGGGGCGGGGGAGCCGGCGCAGGACGAGCCTGGAGGCCACGTGCAGCCTTGTGACACCAGGATAGTGTTATCTGGCCCTAGTCGGCCTCAGACCCTTCAGAGGCAATCCGGAGGCCCCGCTGTCAGCAGCTAGATAACTCGCCCTGGGGTTGGACTTTAACCAGGGTCTCCTTGCCCCCTGGCTGCCTCATTGGATAGAAGCGGGAAGCTGAGACCAGATAACCCTGAGTGCAGGAGATAGAATCCTAGCCCTAGGATTCTCGGCAAAACTCTAAACTAGGGGTCAGAAAATGGTAGACTCTGGACCAACTGTATACCTGGAACTTGTTAAAAATGCAAATCCCAGGGCCCCACCCCAGGAACTTTCCATCAGAAACTCTAAGGATGAAGTCCAGAAATCCATATTTTTACAACCCCCGCGGGTTTTTCAGTGCATGCTAAAGTGGGAGAAGCATTCTAAGAAATGTAGAGATGTGGTTCAGCTATGGTAAAATCATTCCAAATGCCAACCTTCAACGCACCAGGATCTGCAGAATTTGTATTTCATTGTTTTGTTTTGAGATAAGAGCAACACCTCCCACCTTTTAATTATGCACTCGAGCTTCTCAAGAGCCCTGTGTTGCTGATGTAAGCAGATCTGTCAAATCAGGACAAAGCACAACCATGTGCCCCTTAAGGAAGAGATACAGCCTTAGAAATGCAACATTAGCCAGCCAGTGTGGCTCAGGGGTTGAACATTGACCCAAGAACTTAGAGGTCTCCAGTTCCATTCCTGGTCAGGGCACGTGCCCAGGTTATGGGCTCGATCCCCAGTAGGGGGCATGCAGGAGGCAGCCAATCAGTGATTCTCTCTCTTTGATGTTTCTATCCCTCACTCCCTCTCCCTTCCTCTCTCTTTCTACTGTTTCTTCAAATTTTTTTCTAAGTCTGAATTATAGCAAAATAAAGTTAAATTTTAAAAAATCCTTAGCAAATGGCAGAATCAACCCCCCCCCCCCATCCCCCCAGCCTATAGACGCTAGGTGACAAAACGCAGCAGGCATTTTTAACTAAACTGAGGCAGGAAGTGTTTAGCACAGGATTGTGCTAAACAAACTAAAGCTGGCAGCTCAAACCCGGCCTGATGCCTGTTTTTGTATGGTCTGTCAGTTAAGAATCATTTCTACATTTTTATTTTTTTAAAATATATTTTATTGGTTTTTTACAAAGAGGAAAGGAGAAGGATAGAGTTAGAAACATCGATGAGAGAGAAACATTGATCAACTGCCTCCTGCACACCTCTTACTGGGGATGTGCCCACAACCAAGGTACATGCCCTTGACCAGTGCTGCTCCAACTGTGATCCAAGGACAGCGATAGGAAAAGAA